AGAATCTAACGGCAATTGTGCGGCTGCCTTCAAGCCTATCCTGGAATTATAGGCAATCATCTGAACTGGCGTTCAATGAAATCTGTGTTCGGAATTGTCTTCCGCGGCATTGCGATCCATTCCATATACGGCTAATTAAGCGGATGTATAACCGACTGCTTGGACATTCAAAGAGGCGCTGAAACGAAACTGACCAAGAAATCATGCAGACAGTAGGCAGAAGGCGCCTGTCTATGTTGTGCCATTAGGGCAGGAGAAGAGGCAGAGGAGGAAATTGCGAGTAGCAGCCCCACCCCTGTGTCAGCCCCCTCCCCCACAGCCACAGCCGCCGCTGCAACAAAGACGACAAACCTCCAGGTGCAGTCCATCGTCAGTATATTGACCACAGACATAAAGTATTGACGGACGGATGTCTACTAGAGGGCGCACTTTGCGCGATCCACTATCGAGCACCAGCGTCTTGGGCCAAGACTACGTGTCAGTACGCGCGCGCGCACACGCGTAACATCGCGCACTGATGACACGATCTGCTCTCAGAATTGCAGTGCAATTTGAACCAGAAATTTTACTTTTCTTCTGAAATGTAAGTTAATCTAAGTACCATCATTTTGTTAATCGATGTCTAGCAGGTGCTAAGGTGGTACATTTGGCACTTTAGAGTCCGTTTTGAGGGTAAATTGGCTGGAGTTACCGCAGCCCTAGACCCGTAGACGAGGCTATATGCTTCGATCGACAAGGCCACGGTTTTATAGTAACAGAGTGACCGTTCTAGCTGAATTTCGGCTAAATTTGACAGAATATTTGCCTTCTACATGTATATTCACACCTCAGTACTGATCTCTGAAAGCAGAATTGTGTTAAAGGAATTGTATGCATGTATAAATCTCGGTATTTTTTGGGAAAATTAGCTATATAAAGATAATTATTCATACTTGTTTCAGCTACTAAGAATTCATCAAGTAGACACATTCAATAAAGTGTGATGGATTTTGTCCAAAAAAAATGGATTTGTTGCTTCAACTCTGTTATTATTGGAAACGTCTACAATAATTAATTTATCCAAATCCCCTCAGCATATTAACTAAAAGTCTTCCTCAACCCATCAAATTCCAATACGGTTGACTGTTGCTGTTTTACAATACCCAAACCACCAAGCACCAACAGCCCACTTGCTATAACAGTACCCATCCCATCAAAATCCAACTGATGTATTCAGGTGCAAAAATCAAAATCCAATATTTGCTGTGGGTCATCTCGTAGGTGGTTTCCGGTTCCTCTTCGCTTTTGTCGTCGGGGTCATTAATGAAGGAATAATGATGGTGACATGCCAACCACGCATTGACACGTGCGACATCAATAGGAAGAATATCATGGACCGCCACCAGAACTGCGACATGTGGGCATGGTTGTAGTAGGAGCGCAGCTGGTCACTACGGTCCATGCCGCCCATGCATGCTGGGCATGCACCTGGCCATGCATGCTGGGCATGCACCTGGGGTAGTCAACTGTCTGGGGAGGAGCCGAGATGGTTTTGGTCTGCAAGCGGCCTGTATCCTCGTCGGCACATTTTCTTTGGAGTGTGTGGACAATTGAATCCCTCCAGGCTTGGTGTGCAGTGAAGAGCAGCATCAAACCCGGCTGTCTTTCCATTATGCCTTGTGTAAAAGGTCCCCCGTGGTGCTCTGGCCAATGCCATCTTCTTGATGTTGTTGGCCTTCGGAGAAAAGTCCTGGGAAGTCCTTTGCTACTCAGTGCTCTTCATTGCCCAGTGAGGTACAGTATGTTCTCTTTGCTAGCAATGACCGCGGACTAGGCGTGTCAAAGACTAAGTGTAAAGATGTGGTGGTTTTCTAGAACAGTCACTGCTATCTCAGACATCTTGGGCTGTTGGTGGGCTGTTCACTGCGTGCGCGGATACATTGTACATGTGATACATTTGAGTGTGCAGTTGCAGATTCTTCAATGGCGTAGATCTTGAATTCAGTGCGAATAGGCTTGAGGGGCATGACAAATTTCCTCACAGCAGCTTTAAATCCCCGATATTTTTAACCATCGCCCCGTTGATGATCAGCTCCAGCGCAGCCCAGTACTATTCAGGCAGCGCCTCTTTTTAAATCTTAGTGCTGGAGATACGAGAGGGTACAGGGATCGTCTTTGCTTGGTCAAAAACCGATGCTCTAAAACTGATGGGCCTTGTCACGGATGAGATCCGGTCCTTAAATTGTCTGGATCATTGCAGGATTACAGATGTTGGCTGAGGACATCAAAGCGGTTTCGCTTCAGTCTTGTTCAACAGTTTCTCAATCCAGTGTGTAAAGACCAGTAGTCCTTGAAGTGGTTCACCTTCACGAGGCACATCAATAACTTAATACATGTAATTGAATTCCAAAACCACACATTTATTTCTTTGAGAGCCGTCGGAATCTTCTCGTTCAATTTCAAACACTGTCCATCGAACCACTTCTTTTTCGCAGGTGGGGCCACGGGGTTTCTTTCACTTGAAACATCTGACCGTAAAACACGTTACTTCTAAGCTCCTTGTCCACCCCATCTTCATCTGGAGCATAGCCTGACTGATACAGTTCGGGTTGCAGATAATGGTAATCAGTTATCTTTTTGTGCTGGGTCCTCTTTGGCCAGGTGGGCTGGAAGATGACCAAGCACTCTCTTCTGTCTCCTCCTGTCCTTTCTCCCACCTTTTTTCTTCCACCTTTTCGGCAGCCAGCCATGATTGGGACATTCCTCTTGCCTCAGCCACAGCCCTGTCTAAGAATTCCTCTTCGTCACTGTCAGATATTTCTACTACAGCCCTTAGACTTTTCCCATGCTGATTCCAGCTTTCATGCCACATTAAGTGGTATCTCGCAGTTGATCCATCTCAACTTGGTACATGTACAACCTTTCCATTAGGGTAGAAGCGGTGCCTTCCCTGTCTTTCCCCGCCTTTAGCAGCTGTCTCTTCAGTAGTCGCTGTTTTCTCTCCTTTTTCCAACACATGTACTCTTCTTTGCCATCGATTCTTCCCCTTCAAATGTGGCCATGTTTTCTCCTTTCTTGGCCCATTATCAATTAATATATCACATTCTTCACTTCAAGACTCTCTTGCAGACGTCTGACCTCCAACTGGCATATTTGGAGTAGTTCATGTGTTCACTCCGTGGCACATGAGGTCCGCAGAGCCCCAAGAGTTAGAGCCGGCCACACTGGCGACCTCGAAACGCGTCTTGAGACTTGCGACGTGTACCTCCGTTTTGGACATGGTCTCGCCACTGTGTGGCGCTGGGTCGTCAGGATTAGAGGTGGCGGTGATACAACACCACCACACTCTTTCACCATCTATCCCCACCACCACCCCTCCCCTCACAATGCACCCTCACCGCCTACCACAAAAATGAGGCAAAAGGTGGCAAAATTAATCTCCTTTCGTAGGCGTACCTAAGAAGTGCACAAATTTCTCCACTCCTTCATGGACGCTCTACGCGCAGTAGTGGATGCGACGCGCTTAACATTTGTTTTCATGCATTTTCCCATTACAATTGAATATTAAAACATTTTACAGATACATTCGTCGTGCTATTTTTCGAGTATGACATAAACAAAACTACATTAATTTAATATCTTTTAAGTAAGATTTGAGGCTGTTCATGGTGGAGATACTAATAAATGAAAGGTTTACGGAACTAAACACCATGTGCGAATAATTTCTCAACTAAGAGAATGGTTCTGAAAAGAACCATAGGTATAATAAACTCGACATTTCAGTCAGTATCAGTGCTCTGACCGTTTTCAGGAGCGTGCCTAAACTCTAAGAAAGTAAACACCTAGCAAAAGCGAAATCGTTGAAGTGAGAGGTTGCATCCTAGTGGATGCCAAGTGGTAGGGAGCCTGGAGCAAGCCTGGTGTGCCCACTGAAGTGGAACAGTAGGGTTGCAGTCTCAGTAGAGGGAGGACCTAGACTTATTAGTCTTAGGTGATAGCAGAGGACAAATGGTATAGGAAACCCATCAGTCTGGAGGAGTGGGAGCCAGATGTCGTTGAGGTGAAACCCGGTGTCTTGCGGAACTGTTTTCGTGCTTGCGGATCTCGATGGCTTCTCGTATGGCTTTCAACTTAACATTCCCTTTTGAATAATTTGATATTAAAATATGAAATATGTAAATGATGAAGGAATTGTAATTTTTATTGGAGAAAATAATTTACTTGGGAGTACGTTTTTACATCTTTTAGTACATGTTAGGGTTTTCCCGGCCGATTTACAAAGTTCTAAGGAAAACACAACAAATAAAAGATACACCATTAAATTCTTAGGAAAATAGCTGAATGCAATTATTTTATTTAGCAATTACGCGCACCAGTAAGTTCTTTAAACGAATAATAAATACGAGAAAAAAAATCTAAATTCGAAATCAAAAGTTCGATGACCCATTATGAATTTTGTCAGGGGAATAACTAATACAAGCCAAAAATATTACTTTTACGGACATAACTAAAATACATTTTTGCGTACAAACTATACGGTAATGAATAGGTGCGCGCAACGCAATTGCCCCATGCGCTGAAAAAAAATGGTGCGCGTCTGTACGCACTGCCAATCTAGTCTTTTTATTCTATATCTTTGGTAGAATCCAGACCCAACATGCTGAAAACGTAATGATAGAGAAGCTGTGTAGCACTGGTGATTGGTAAAGGGTCAGAGACAAATTCAAGTGTCAAGTGCAATTTTTGTATGCCTGCTTGTATATAGGCCCACCTTTATTTTCATGTGAGTTTCAGCCAAGCAATTGCTGGTATACATGTTATTTTCACAAAAGCAATTGTTAACATTTTGAAATCACGTGTATACACATGGGGTTTTTTTTCAATCAAAATGTACATTTTGTACGTGCGCTGTACATTATAATACAACAACCATTAATAGATACCGACTTGAATCAAGTCTAGAGAACGCACACACGGTCCGGGTGGTATGTACTGCATGCAGTGACCCTCGCGCGATGCATAGCAAATAAAAAAGATGGCGTCTGCAAACACGGCAGGAAAGAAGTTTACGGAGTTGAACAGGACATTTCTCTTTTCTTCCAATTAGTAAGTTAACCTCAGTACCGCCATTTCAATATATCAATCTCTTACGGATGCGTAGGTGGTATATTTGGCACTTTGGGGACCGTTTGATATGGTAGAATTACTAGACTTTAAAACATTCTTCTCCGTATGTACTACTAGACTACTACTAGCCCCATGGACTGTCTCCGTTAACATAGGCCACACATCCACATGTACAAAAACGTGTCGCACCTTGCCAAATTTTGATTTTCACATTTAGGCTTAGTTTGAAGGTTTTTTTTGCTTTAGGAGCATACTCACCCTCTTTATAGGCTAATCAGAAAGTGCTGCCCTAGGCCTATATTTTTCGTGAAATTTCCAGATTCATTTTTACACGTTTGCGTATCAAAATTTCAACATGAAATTTCACAAAAAGTAGACATCTGAAAAAGGAAGCACTTTCTGATTAGCCTATAAAGAGGGTGAGTATGCTTCTAAAGCAAAAAAAAACCTTCAAACTAAGCCTAAATGTGAAAATCAAAATTTGGCAAAGTGCGACACGTTTTTGTACATGTGGATGTGTGGCCTATGTTTAAGGAGGCAGTCCAGTAAATAGGCCACATTTATGGGGCTACGTATGTACATGATGTACGGCGTATTACGGTACTCGTGGGCAGATCCAGGAATTTTTGGAGGGGGGGGGGGGTCATCAGCAAATCATTGCTGAAATCATGGAGGAAGGATAGCCTTCCTCCATGCTGAAATGTGGACAGTTTGTTTGTGTCCGGACGCTGGCATGGCTGGGCCAAGGGGGTGGGGGGGGGGGGGGGTCGTCATTCAAATTCTATGATTTTTAACACTATACTTAAGTACGGTGTAAAAATACCCCCGTTACTGAGAGCTTGCTCCGTGTCCATATTTTTTGCACTTGTCGCACAGGCGAACTTTATCAGTATAATATTCTTTGCGTGTCACAGCAGGGGGTTCACGCAACGTTTCATGAATTTCTATGAAAATAATTTTTTGGGAAAAGAGCTGGGTTGGTTGTTTTTGCCGCCCCCCCCCCCCCCCTTTGTCTGGTACTTATCACATTTATTGTGCGGAATAGGGATTGCCCACTAACCTTCCCGATTTGTCCAGTCTTTCAAATTGATATGTAAAGCAAATCAGATGATGGCATGATTTATTCTGTGTATGATGCCTGACAAAAAACAATGTAGTTAAGTACTTTATTATGACCTGGACTTTTTTATTCATTTTCAATCTTGGACTAAAACATCCCCTGAAGTCTGATTTTTCCTGTAACGTTCAAGTTGATGAAAGACAAATCCCAGCAGGATGATTTCTTGAGACCATGCACCTCCCAAAGGAGAACAGAAATCACCCAGACAAACTGATTGGCGCTGTCCTTACCTGTATAAAGTGCCAAGTAGTCTTTAAGTGAATGAAATGATGCGATTCTTCTGTAAAGGCTTTTAGGCTACTTTGTACAAATACAGTATTTTTAGCTTATGGAGGGAATTAATTAATGTATTTAATTTTTCCCCCTTAATTTTAGAGCTTTCCTGCTGAGTGACAACACTGACGACAAACTGTTTTCCGCTGTGAAATCTCGTGATCTGAAGCATCGCCACCAGTTCTTTGATAGATCAACATCCAGCCAGTATGATGATTATCATATCTGGGGCATGCTGTAAAAGACAAAAGGTTGAAATATCGAACTCCTGTCTTCCATCAAGATAAGAGATTCATAACATTGGACACAAAAAGTGAAAGCAATCGTTCCTTTTCTCTGTAAAAAAAACTTTGTCATCAAGCCTTAACCTGAAGAGTCACAAGGGTGTGGACTCATCTGAGACACTGTTTCCTCATGAGACCTGCGGTATAGCTTTTCTGAGCGAGGTAATCTGTGCGTCCATTCTTGTGAGAAACCATTTGTTTGTGAGACCTGTGGCAAGGTTTTGACTTCCCCAAGGTACGCATACAGGACAGGCAACATACATGCTACGGGAACATTCTGAAGAGAAAGGATATGTTTGTAAGACCTCCAGTAAAGTCTAGTCTCAGCAAGGTACACGTAGTCTTAACAGATGTGAACACTATGCAGACTGATGAGAAACCATTTGTTTGTGTTACTTGTGGTAAGGCCTTTTCAGAGCAACAAAAACTGAACAGACACCAGAGGTTGCATACAAAAGAGAAACCATTTACTTGTGAGATTTGTGGTTATAGCTTTCCTTACCTAAGCTATCTTCAAGAACATATCAAGGTGCACACTGGTGAGAAACCATTTAGTTGTGTGACCTGTAGTAAAGCCTTTTCTCAGCGGAGTAGTCTGAACAGACATGAAAAGATACACAATGTTGAGAAGCAGCTTGTTCGCAAGACCAGTGATAAAGCCTTTTCAGTTCAAGGTCATCTACACACACATGAGAGGATGCATGCTATACAGAAACCTCTTGTTTGTGAGACTTGTGGTAAAGGCTTTTCTCGGCAAAGTTCTCTAAACAGACATGAAAAGATACACACTGGTGAGAAACCACATGTTTGTGAGACTTGTGGTAAAGGCTTTTCTCGGCAAAGTTCTCTAAACAGACATGAAAAGATGCACACTGGCGAGAAACCATTTGTTTGTGAGACCTGTGGTAAAGCATTTTCTTCTGGAACTTATCTATGTGAACATGAGAGGGTGCATACGAGAGAGAGACCTTTTGTTTGCGAGACCTGTGGTTCAGCCTTTTCTCGTCAAAAATATCTACGCGTACATGAGAGGGTGCATACAAGAGAGAGACTTTTTTTGCGTGAGACCTGTGGTAAAGCCTTTTCTGAGAAAGAAAAACTGAACAAACATGAGAGGGTGCACACTGGAGAAAAAACATTTGCTTGTGGTATCTGTAGCAAAGACTTCACTCAGCAAGAATATCTTCTGAAACATATCAGGGTTCACACTTACGAGAAACCACTTGTTTGTGAGACCTGTGGTAAAGCCTTTTCTACCCGAAGTTATCTACGCATACATGAGAGGGTGCATACGAGAGAGAGACCTTTTGTTTGTGAGACCTGTGGTAAAGCATTTTCTAGTCAAAGTTATCTACGCCAACATGTAAGGGTGCATACCAGAGAGAGACCTTTCGTTTGTGAGACCTGTGGTAAAGCCTTTTCTGGGAAAGGAAAACTGAACAAACATGACAGGGTGCACACTGGTGAGAAACTTTTTGCTTGTGAGACATGTGGTAGAGCTTGTGCTACTCCAGGTGATCTTCGCATACATGACAGGGTGCACACTGGAGAAAAAACATTTGTTTGTGGTATTTGTAGCAAAGACTTCACTCAGCGAGAATATCTTCTGAAACATATCAAGTTTCACACTGGTGAGAAACCACTTGAGAGGGTGCATACGAGAAAGAATCCTTTTGTTTGGGAGACCTGTGGTAAAGCCTTTTCTCAGAGAGGAAAATTAGACATACATGAGAGGGTGCACACTGGCGAGAATATATTCGCTTGTGAGACATGTGGTGAAGCTTGTGCTACTCAGGGCGATCTACACGTACATGAGAAGGTGCATACGAGAGAGAAACCTTTTGTTTGTGACTTCTGTGGTAAAGCCTTTTCTCAGAGAGGAAAATTAGACATACATGAGAGGGTGCACACTGTTGAGAACATATTCGCTTGTGAGACATTTGGTAAAGCTAATCCTACTCAAGATGATCTACGCATACATGAGACAGTGCATACGAAAGATAAAGCTTTTGTTTGCCAGTCCAGTGGTAAAGCCTTTGCTACTCACAGTAATCTTTGCAAACAGGAAGGAATGCACACTGACGAGAAACCATATCTTTGCAAGACCTGTGGTAAAGCTTTTGCTGCCCACAGTGATCTGAGCAAACATGAGAGTAGGAGAGAAATCTTTTGTTTGTGAGACCTATTGAAGGAAACATTGTAACTTTTTAATTTGTCTTTGCGTACCTGGACACGTTTGTTAACACATATTATACGTTATACATTTTTTTGTATTTTTAAATTATTGGATTGTTTACATTTAAAGGGGCACATCGTCCTGAAGAGCACCAACATGTAGGCCTATATGTTGTTTCTTACAAGTTCGCAGCATGCAAAGCACTGGTGGAACATGTGTGACTGGAAGCAAGACAAGGACCAAAACAGCTAGATTATTCTGAGCCAATTTTGACTCGAGAAATTCGTTCTCGCAAGAATAACACAAAAATTCCCAAAATTTTAAAGGATGATTGTGGGGCATTTATATTCTACTTCTAAATGCTCTTTCCACTTAACATTATTTCGTTTAAAGCACGTTTTGAAACCTTTACAGGCACTTTACAGGACGTAGTGTGCCCTTAAGTGTTAAATGTGTACATTTGAAATTTCTGTTTGGGTACCTGAAGGTATTAATACACTTACATTAAGTTAATAACAGTCTCAAGCATCCTGTGAAATCCTAGCACCTGGTGTGCTGTCATTTTCAATAAAAGTGGACTTCTGTGTCTACATTATTTCCAACGATGGTTGAAAAAGTGACCTTTTTTCAAATTTTGCACCCAGTTGACCAAATTTATTTTTGCAATAAATGTACATTGTAAATGTAATTACAGCAAAAGCAAATGCCTATAGTTTGTACCTTTAATAACATACATTGTACATATGTTACTTTTACTCCGTAATTATCCAGGGTTGAAAGTTAGTAATTTCAATGAAGTGAATACATTTCGTAGACTGTTGCATACATGTTCACACTTAATACTGATCACTGGAAGCAGAATTGTGTTAAAGGAATTGTATATGTATACATTTTGGTTACAAAATGTATTTGGTTTTGTAAATTGCCTATTAAGATAATTATTCATGTGTTTCAGCCACTAAGATTCATCAAGTAGACAATAAAGTGCAATGGATTTTGTTTCTTCAACTCGTGTCAAAAAAATAGCATATGGAAATATCTATACAATTAATAATTTACCCTTATCCCCTAAGCATATTCACTAAAAGTCTTCCTTAACCCATCAAATTCCAACACCGTTGACTGTTTCTGTTTTACAATACGCAACCGGGTGCATACCTATACATGTATTCCCCGATACCTAGGCTATGTTCCCCTAACCCTAAGGATTTCGGGGAACATAGGTATTGGGGAACATCGGGTAGACCCCTACCCAACCCACCAAACTCCAACAGCCCACTTGCAATAACAGTACCCATCCGATCAAAATCCAACTGATTCAGGTGCAAAACCAAATTCAATGTTTGCTGTGGGTCATCTTGTAGGTGGTTTCCAGCTCCTCTTCGCTTTCACTGCCAGGATCATTGATGGAGTAATGGTGGCAACCATTCATTGACACGTGCGACATCAATAGGAAGAACAGCATGGACCGCCAACAGAACTGGGACTTGCGGGCATGCCGGAGCACAGCTGGTCACTGCGGTCCACGCTGCCCATGCACCTGGGGTAGTCGGTCTGCATGGGGAGAAGCCAAGATGGTTTTGGTTTGCAAGCGGCCTTTATCCGCGTCAGCACATTTCCTTTGAGGGTGTGGACAGTTGAATCCCTCCAGGCATGGTGAGCAGTGGAGATCAGCATCATAATCCGGCTTTCTTTCCACATTGTTGCAGAAAGTTGGCTATGCCTTGTGCAAAAGGTTCACCGTTGTGCTCGAGTTGGCCAATGCAGTCTTCTTGATCTTGTTGTTGGCATTCGGAGAAACGTCCTGGGGGAGTCCTTTGCTATTGCTCATCACTGCCCATTGAGGTATGTTCTCTTTGGTAGCGATGACCGGACTAGGCTTGCCAAAGATAAAGCTTATCCGTGAAGATGTGGTGGTACAATGTATTCCGCAAAGCTATCTCAGACATCTTGGTGGGCTGTACGTTGCCCCAGCGATGGCGTAGATCTTGAATTCAGTACGAATAGGCTTGAGGGGCATGAAGAATTCCTCACAGCAACTAAATCCCCAATAGTTTACCCAGTTGATGTTCAGCTCCCGCCCAGCCCAGTATTCTTCAGGCAGCGCCTCTATTTAAACCGTTCCACAAAGGCTGGACTGGAGGTACGAGAGGATACAGAGATTGTTTTTGTTGGTCAAAAATGGTCCATGTCGATGTCACGGATCAGATCTGGGTCCATGTCTGGCTGGATCATTGCAGGACAGGTGTTGGCTAAGGACATCAAAGGTCGGTTGGACGATGGTCAAGCACTCTCATCTGTTCCCTCATCTTCCCTCCACCATCTTCTCTTGCTCTAGATACCCACGTACCCTGTCCGATTCTCCCATGTCTCCGTCCCTGTCTCTGTTTCCTCTTTTTCCTGTCTCTCCTGCCCTTTCTCCCTCCTTTTCAGCAGCCAGCCATGATGGGGATCGACATTGCTCTTGTATCAGCCACAGCGCTAGCTGTCTAAGAATTCCTCTTCGTCACACTGTCGGATGTTTCCACTATATAGCCCGGTGGACTTTCCCCATGTCTATCCCAGCTTTCGTGCCACATGAGATGGTAGCTCGTAGTTGATCCATCTCAACTTGGTACACCCTTTCCATTAGGGTAGAAGCGACGCCTTCCCTTCAGTCCCTTTCCTTTAGCGAAGGATTTAGCCCCGATGTAACATCGGGGCAAAATCCTTCTCTTAGCGAAGTAGGTTCATTTCACAAAACTCGTACGGGACCTACGGCTAGCTTTACGTCCCATCCGAAGGAGGACGGCTGGACGAAGCAATATTGGTAAAGTGCCTTGCCCCGTGAGAATTCGAACCATGTGCCACGGCACACGGGTAATTGTGGACCATACAACCCCAGCCCATGTGGACGCCATAGAACCACCATTGGATGTTACAGTACCCATGGAAGTCCATGGCGATTTAAAAGACAGCACGGGAACACGTGGGAACATAATACATGCAATGCCATGGGATCGAATTAACCAATATAGTTAATTCAGGCAAATCTGCACTTTAATTATTGGCCTTTGAGTTGGATTTTAATCAAATATGTTTCCTATACGGTACTGGAGGTGCAAGATTTTTTTCTTGATGCTAAATATAAATGTATATGGAAGCTTCATGGGAACACCAGTGCGACCAGAAGAACGTGGGATAAACATAAATTTGAAGGACAGCATAAAATACATTTTAAAAAATGTTGAAATGATCATTAATTTGTAGTTTCATGAGGTCTAGTTAAGAGGGCCTAAAAATTCTAAGGAAAATGGCTGCATGCAAGAGTTTTTATTTTGTAGCAACGTATTTTGAAACGAAAAATAAATACGAGAACAAATGGATCATACGTATAAATCAATTGTTTGATAACCCATTTTTAATGTAAATGTAATGATAGCTGTGTCACTGGTGATACCACGGACCATGGTCCGTGGGTAAACACAGGTCAAACAGCATACACTACACATCCCATAACGGGAGATTGCTTGCAGTATTGATCCAGATCCAGATCCAGCAGATTTTTTTTTAAAATGCAGTGCAATTGTGGTAAATTTTCTCCAATGTTTTATGCATTACATTAGAGTGCAAGTGCAGCAACCCAAGCAATTTCTATAACTTTTTGAAATCACATGTTCATGTATGCACTTCACAGTTCACTCCAAATTGTACGCGTGCTGTACATTATAAACACAGTAGTGGAACGTGGTAAATTGAGTGGTTTTTGTGTTGTGGTTTTCCGACTTGAAACAAGTCTAGAGTACGTGCACGGCGTGTACGTGCGTGTACATGTAAGTACATGTACATGTACGTACATGTACGTGTCAACTCGATACATGTGGTGATGTTATGTTCGACGCTTACAAAATTTTACAAATGACAAGATGGCGACTGCAAGCACGGAGAGAAGATTTCGGATTTGAACCGGACATTTTCTCGTTTCTAACGATGAGTAAGTTAACCTAAGTACCACAATCTTAATTATTAATCTCCAACAGATCCCTAAGTAGGTGGTTTGGGAGGGCAGAATACTACAATTTGCAACATTCTCCCTATGAATGAGTATGACACTGTCGATGTAGTACTAGTAGGCCTATGATTCAAGTTAGCCCCATGTCATGTGGCCAATTTACTGGACTTGGCCTACCTCCGTATAAAGGCCACACTTGGACCATGTACAAAAACGTGTAGAACTTGGAAAGATTCCCATATCTGGCCATCAGTAATTTATAAATGACCCATCAGCCATCGAAAAGTGGTAGGCCTAATAATATGTCCTAAAAATATAAAAAAAGTCAAAATTAGCACTGACAAATTTTTACTGAGAACACAAAGTTTTACTGAGGAAATACTTAAAAGATTTTCAGACCAGTCCCATGGCCATAGGGTTTGTGCACAGGGTGACAAGTGAAGGCCAGATATGGAAATCTTTCATAGTAGAACTTTGTCAAATTTTGATTTTCACATTTAGGCTTAGTTTTTAGTTTATTTTTGGCAGTGTATATTTTGCCGGAGACGGCAAACCTTTAGTAAACGTTAGTTTGCCGGATATGCACTGAACAAACATGCGCAGTTACTGTTTTTTTGTACTTAAACATTTTCCGGTGACAAGTTTTAGTCTGGCTCCATGCCAAAATTATCGTTGTAACCTCGTATTCACAAGATGGGATTCAGACCATTTTATAATTTCGGACTTTATTTCCCTTTTAAAAAAATCCTCCAGAGCCACAAATCTGAAAAAGAAAATGTAATACTCTGCAAAAAATGTTTGAGACATGTTAAAATAATAAAAGAAGAATATTCTTATTTATTTGGGGATGAGAAAAAAAAACTTTAAAATGTGGTGCGGTCGGAATCGAACGCGAGTCATCCCGCTTACTAGAGCCTTTGTTTAACCATTACACCAAACGTGCTACACAACTTTTGGTGGGAATTTAATACATCTTATAAATCAGCCCTATTTTAAAGAGTACAGCGCCCTCTGTTGATATGGATTGCCGCCGGCAAACCTTTAGTAATCGTTAGTTTACCGTCATTACCTCCGGCAAAATATCCACTATCTTTATTTTTCCTTTAGAAGCATACTCATCCTCTTTAGACTTTATGCTAGAAAGTGCTGCCTTTTTCAGATGTCTATTTTTCATGAAATTTCCAGATTCGTTTGCACATGTTTGGTTATCAAAATTTCAACATGAAATTTCACGAAAATTAGACATCCGAAAAAGGCAGCACTTTCTGATTAGCCTATAAAGAGGGTGAGTATGCTTCTAAAGCAAAAATGAACTACAAACTAAGCCTAAATGTGAAAATCAAAATTTGACAAAGTTTGACACGTTTTTGTACATGTTCCAAGTGTGGCCTTTATTTACGGAGGTAGTCCAGTAAATTGGCCACACAATGGGCTATATGAAAATTTGATATCCTGATAAACCTGACTCGGTGACATTTGCACTTCATCATGGCAATGCAGTTTATGCACAAACCTATGGGTACGTATGGGACCAGTCTAGCTTAAAAATACTTTTTCTTCATTATTTTTCCAGGATTTAATATGTGATCATCGATAAACCTGTAAATGCATCAGATTTTAGCAATATATTTTGTATCGTCAGACCCCCTAAAATGACGAGGATATGTTTTGACACACTCGCAATGGCATTCAATTTGCGTTGGGAAACGCGTGCGTGTTGCAAGTGTTACCAGCGTCAATTATGGTGACTCCAGGATATGAAAAATTCAGTTTTTTCAGCTTACAAAAAAAAATATGAAATCATTGTATTTTTAAATAATTTCAGGATACCACCAGTCGCCAGGCCTTGTGTTAATGGTCAGTGTAAGCTGGAGTTACTCAAGCTAGGTCAGTGATGGCGGAGAGACAATGAGAGAGCTTGCAAGCCCTGTGTGATTGGTCAGTGTTAGGGGCGTGAGCTTGACATCTTGATTCTGGTTGGTCAGTATGAGATGGCTCAAGATATTAACATTTAATTTCAGAAGTATGAGTAATGAAACTGGCCTCTAAAAAAAGGGATTTCCCCAAAAATGTTCTTAGGCTTTAAAAGTGATTTTTAAAAAAATAATTGTATGTCAAATTACCAGTGCAAAAATATATTAAACAATTTTCATTAAATTCTTGAAAAATTAGAAGGAATCAAATGAAAGTTGTAAGTGGTACTCGGCTATATTGGTTTGTGCACAAATTGCCTGATTTGTTTGTCATCCAATCCCAAGATGCATTGCGAATCAACAAAAAAAAATTTGATACAGCATACAAAATAGTGAGTTCAGCCCTCGCCGATAAACGGTAAATTTCACTTTTAATCAAGATAGAAAGTAACCTTTAGTACCTCAGTGATCTATACTTTTATCTGGTGGCCATCTTGAAGGAAAAAAAGGCCTCCTTCCTTTTTTTTTTCTCAAAAAGGCAGGACGCTCATTGCTCAACATGTTTTTTTATTTGGCCTTAAGATCAAAGTTCTAAGGTTTACTCAGATCCGATGAAAAGTGAAATTTCCTGTTAAATTCCGAGTAATCCGAGAGCTCACCACGCATTCATGGACACTTTAAATGTCCGATTCTGTTTGAATGAAGTGTTGTGGTTGTGCATGCCCAGCATTTGTAAACGGTTCCGAGTGCGATTCCCTTACAGTGCCCGATGCATCGCTTATGCATGATAACGAGTCGACAGGATTTTGTTAGTAAAGACAAGTGCAGTTTGAATGACAGTAGTGATGCTTGAATCTGTACCTGTGTCCTGTACAATTTCAATTCAGGTCTTATAATTGTCAAATTTGCCATGTTTGCTGCAAGCTTGAAGAATTAGTTAAGAGCAGGATCTTAGCCTAAAAAAACCTTAAATCTCATCACAGCCTTCTGCATTCCAAAGTGAACTAGAGGTACTTAATTTTTGTTTTTCAATTTGTCATCTTAACTGAAAAGAAAAAAGCCAAATCACCCTCAGAACTCTCGTTTCTTGCACAAGTTCTATGGTCAAAGTTTTTTGGAATACCTGTATACAGTACCAATGACCAAGTAACCACTGAACAAATGAAACGTCTGTGTGTAGATGAGATTCTTCTGTAAGGGCTTCTGGGCTACAGTGTAGAAATGCAGTATTTTGTAGCCTATGGATGAAATTAATGAATGTATTTCATTTTTGCTCCTGAATTTTACAGCATTCCTGCTGTGTGACAACACTGACGACAAACTGTTCTCCACTGTGAAATCTTGTGATCAGAAGCAATCGCCGACTGACCTGTGGTAGATCAACATTCAGGCAGTGTTATGATGCTCTCATAATCTGTGGCATGCTGTAAAAGGCAAAAGGTTGCAATGCAAGGCACTTGTTTGAACTACATGTATTGCCGGCTATCAAGATAAGAGATCCATAACATTGGACACAAAAATTGAAAACAATTTTGCGTTTTCTCTAAAAAAAACTTCGTCATCAAGCTTTAACCTGAAGTGCTACAAGTACAAGGTGTGGACACATCTGAGACACTGTTTCCTCACGAGACCTGTGGTACAACTGTTCTGAGCGAGGGAGTCTGTGCGCCCATGCTTGTGAGTCAAGCCTGTAGTAAAGCTATTTACTTCTGAAGGTACGCATACAGCACAGGGCACATTCATGCTACGGGAACATTCTGAAGAGAAAGGATATGTTTTGGAAGATCAACATCCAGCCAGTCCGATGATGCTCTCAAAATCTGGGGCATGCTGTAAAAGACAAAAGGTTGCAGTGCAAGGCACTTGTTTGAACTACATGTACTGTCGGCCATCAAGATAAGAGACTCATAACATTGGACACAAAAGTGAAAACCATTTTTTGTTTTCAAGCTTTAGGAAGTGCTACAAGGGAGTGGACACATCTGAGACACTGTTTCCTCATGAGACCTGTGGTACAACTGTTCTGAGCGAGGTAATCTGTGCGTCCATGCTTGTGAGAAACCATTTTTGAGTGAGGCCTTTGGTAAAGCTTTTTTACTTCTGAAGGTACGCATACAGAACAGGGCACATACATGGTACAAGAACATTCTGAAGAGAAAGGATAGGTTTGTAAGACCTCCAGTAAAGTCCATCCGCAGCAAGGTACACGTAGTCTAAACAGATGTGAACAGTATGCAGACTGGTGAGAAACCATTTGCCTGTGAGACCTGCAGTAAGGCCTTTACTAGCCAAAGATATCTTCAAGAACATATCCGGGTGCACACTGGTGAGAAACCATTTGTGTGTGTGACCTGTGGTAAAGCCTTTTCTCAGCATGGTAGTCTAAACAGACATAAAACGATGCACACTGGTGAGAAACCATTTGTTGGTGAGACCTGTGGTAAAACCTTTTCTCAACAAAAGATTCAAAACAAACATGAAAAGATGCACACTGGTGAGAAACCATTTGTTTGTGTGACCTGTGGTAAAGCCTTTTCTCATCAAAGTAGTCTAAGCAGACATGAAAAGATGCACACTGATGAAAAACCATATGTTTGTGAGATCTGTGGTAAAACCTTTCCTTTTCAAAGTTATCTAAGCGCACATCAGAGGGTGCATACAAGAGAGAAACCGTTTGCTTGTGAATTCTGCGGTAATACCTTTTCTTACCCAAGACATCTTCAAGAACATATCAGGGTGCACACTGGTGAGAAACCATTTGTTTGTGTGACATGTGGAAAAGCCTTTTCTCAGCGGAGTAGTCTAAACAGACATGAAAAGATGCACACTGGTGAGAAAGAGCTTGTTGGTGAGAACAGTGGTAAAGCCTTTTCTATTCAAAGTAATCTACCCGCACATGAGATGGTGCATACGAGAGAGAAACCTTTTGTTTTTGAGACATGTGGTAAAGCTTGTGCTACTCGGGGTGATCTTGGCATACATGACAGGGTGCACACTGGAGAAAAACCGTTTGTTTGTGGTCTTTGTAGCAAAGCCTTCACTCAGCGAGGTTATCTTCAAGAACATATCAGGTGTCACACTGAAGAGAGACCATTTCATTGTGAAACCTGTGGTACAGCCTTTTCTCAGCCAAGTAGTCTAATCGGACATGAACAGATGCACACTGGTGAGAAACCATTTGTTTGTGAGACCTGTGGTGAAGCCTTTGCTAGTAAATGTAATCTACGCGCACATGAAAAGGTGCATATGGAAGAGAAATTATTCGTTTGTGAGACCTGTGGTGAAGGCTTTTCTAGTCAAAGTTATCTATGCACACATGAGAAGGTGCATATGAGAGAGAAACCATTTGTTTGTGAGACCTGTGGTAAAGCCTTTTCTATACAAAGTAATCTATGCACACATGAAAAGGAGCATAATAGAGAGAAACCATTTGTTTGTGAGACCTGTGGTAAAGCCTTTATTGGTAAGAGTTATCTACGTGCACATGAAAAGGAGCATACGGAGGAGAAACTATTTCTTTGTGAGACCTGTGGTAAAGCCTTTTCTAGTCAAAGTAACCTACGCAAACATGCGAAGGTGCATACGGTACAGAAACCATTTGATTGTGAGACATGTGGTAAAGCCTTTTCTCAGAGAAGTAAACTACGCATACACGAGAGGATGCACACGGGAGAGAAACCATATGTTTGCGAGTTCTGTGGTAAAGCCTTTTCTGACCAGAGTCGTCGAAACGGACATGAAAAGATGCACACTGGTGAGAGAACATTTGCTTGTGAGACCTGCGGTAAAGCATTTCCTTGTCAAAGTAAGCTACTTGCACATGAGAGGGTGCATACTGGAGAGAAACCATTCGATTGTAAGATCTGTGGTAAAGCCTTTTCTGACCAAAGTCATCGAAGCAGACATGAAAAGAAGCACACTGGCGAGGGAACAGTTGCTTGTGGTAAAGCCTTTCCTCAGAGAAGTAAACTACACATTCATGAGAAGATGCATATGAGAGAGAAACCATTTGTTTGTGAGACCTGTGGTAAAACCTTTTCTCAAAGAAGTAAACTACGCATACATGAGAGGATGCACACTGGAGAGAAGCCATATGTTTGTGAGTTCTGTGGTAAAGCCTTTTCTGACCAAAGTCATCGAAACAGACATGAAAAGATGCACACTGGCGAGAGAACAGCTGCTTGTAAGATCTGTGGTAAAGCCTTTTCTCAGACGAGTAAACTACACATTCATGAGAAGATGCACACTGGAGAGAAACCACATGTTGGTGAGTTCTGTGACAAAAGTCGTCGAAACGGACATGAAAAGATGCACACTGGTGCCAGAACATTTGCTTGTGAAACCTGTAGTAAAGCATTTCCTTGTCAAAGTAAGCTAATCGCACATGAGAGGGTGCATACTGGAGAGAAACCATTCGATTGTAAGATCTGTGGTAAAACCTTTTCTGACCAAAGTCATCGAAGCAGACATGAAAAGATGCACACTGGTGAGAGAACAGTTGTTTGTGAGACCTGTGGTAAATCCTTTTCTTGTCTAAGTAGTCTACTTGTACATAAGAGGGTGCACACTAGAGAGAAACCATTCGATTGTAAGATCTGTGGTAAAGCCTTTTCTGTCCAAAGTCATCGAAACAGACATGAAAAGATGCACACTGGTGAGAGAACAGTTGCTTGTGAGACCTGTGGTAAATCCTTTCCTTGTCCAAGTAGTCTACTTGTACATAAGAGGGTGCACACTGGAGAGAAACCATTCGATTGTAAGAAATGTGGTAAAGCCTTTTCTCAGAGAAGTAAACTACGCATACATGAGAGGATGCACACTGGAGAGAAACCTTATCTTTGCGAGTTCTGTGGTAAAGCCTTTGCTGACCAAAGTCGTAGAAACAGACATGAAAAGATACACACTGCTGAGAAACCATATATTTGTGAGACCTGTGGTAAAGCCTTTTTTCGGAAAAGTAAACTACGCATACATGAGAGGATGCACACTGGAGAGAAACCATTTGTTTGTGAGACCTGCGGTAAAGACTTTGTTGTTAAATGTAATCTACGTGCACATGAGAAGGTGCATACAGGAGAGAAACTATTTGATTGTGAGACCTGTGGTAAAGCCTTTTCTCAGAGATGTAGACTACGCATACATGAGAGGATGCACACTGGAGAGAAACCATATGTTTGTGAGTTCTGTGGTAAAGCCTTTGCTGCCCAAAATCGTCTAAATGTGCATGAAAAGATACACACTGTCGAGAGAACATTTGCTTGCGAGACCTGTGGTAAAGCCTTTCCTTGTCAAAGTTATCTCCGCAAACATGAGAAGGTGCATACTGGAGAGAAACCATATATTTGTGAGACCTGTGGTAAAGCCTTTTCTCAGAAATGTAATCTAGGTGCACATGAGAAGGTGCATACAGGAGAGAAACTATTTGATTGTAAGATCTGTGGTAAAACCTTTGCTCTACGAGGAAATCTAAAATCACACAAAAAGATACACGAAGGAAAACGTTTGCTTATGATAAGGGTTTTCTTGATCAAAGGACCAGTAGTCTAAGTACACATTGGAGGGCCGGTGCTGGCAAGTAATCCGCTCTGGCAAAAAAACAAAAACACTACTTTATGAGATTTTTGGTGTAAAGCCTTTTCTGAACAGGGTCATCTGAGTACACATGAAAGGGTCCACTAGTGGCAAACCACTAGAGAAATTGTTTTAATTTGTGGTAAAGCCTATTTCATCTAAGTGTGCAAAGTAGGGGGGGGGGGTTGTCAACACTGGTGAGAAAGCATTTGGATGTCAGACATGTAAAATCCTCTACAAACAAAATTCCCTATTTAACCCTAACCACCCCAATTCCATCAAAATTCATCCCCCCATTTTTGGTGGATTTTGGGGGACTTGGTCCAGAAGACCTGGCGTGACTAAAAATTGATGGAGTACGTTGGACTTGGGATTTAATGGCCTGAAATAGTGCTTGGGGTATGCGATTGATTTTGCCTAGCTTCCTGTTCTGCTATTGTGATAAAAGCCATGTGTAGCAAGTCCATGAATGTCATTGTCAACCTATGCATCAGTGGTGGATTCCATTGTGTCATGTACAGCTTTGTATTGGAAGCACAGTAACTGATGGATTTTGATGGACTTGGTCCAGTCCCTAGTAAAATACGCTAGGGAGTTAGGGTTAATAAAGGGATCATTTTTGTGTGCATGGTCATGGTGTAAATCGAGGACTCATTTAAGTGCCCCTTTAAATGTAAGCAATCCACCAATTTAAATACATGGCTTTACCACAGATCAAAACAATTGATCTCATATATGAAGTGTCATCGAGTAATTGGCCTATCGCTGTTTGTGAGTTAGCCACGCCCCTTAGACAACCCTATGGAAGGTTGTATGTTAAGGTTTGTTTGTCTATGTGCGTTCCACGCCGCTTATATGTTCCGTGTAATTGGACCATATTTCACAATCTGCGTTGACACTCTCCTACCGCGATAGGTCAATTGAGGACAGGGGTCAAATCGAGGACGACCTTGATTAGAAAACGTGTAAAAAAAAACATGAAAGCTGTTCCAGAAAGTTAGTGCTATCAAATGATCGATGTTGAAAAACCAATACAAAATCCATAATCTACACCATAAAGAAACCTGCGTTGACCTGGACAAGTACATTAGCATATTATTTGTACAATGTATTTAAATTGATGGATTGTTTACATTTAAAGGGGCACTTCGGCCTGAAGAGCACCAACTCACATGTACATGTAATTTCTTGCAAGTTCGCAGCATGCGATGCACTGGTGGAACATGTGAGATTGGAATCAAGACTAGTACCCAAAATAGCTTGATTTTTGAGAGGCAAATTTGTTGACCCCCGAAATTCGTTCTCGCAAGTACAGAAATTGCCAAATTTAAAGTCCTAGAAAGCGCCCATGCACTTGGGTTTATGTAACCCAAGTGGGCGCAATTTCCAGGAGCTAGTGTCCCCTTAAAGTGTTTGTGTTTATTTGTAATTCTTTTGTACTAAAAGGTAATAAACAACATTGGCAAACGTTAACAAAAAACTACGAAATTATTATGGAATATACGTTTCACTTAATTGTAACTCAAGTGTAAGTGAATAACATTCTCAAGCATCCTGTGAAATCATGGCATATGTGCTGTCATTTTCAAGAAAAGTGGAGTTTTTGTATCAATTTCCTACGATGGTTGGGAAACTTTTTTTTAAATAGCGGTACTGCCCCAAATTTACCAAAATTAGTTCGTACACATTTTGTTTGCAATAAATGTAACAATATTTGCTATACTAACCCCCACTCCATTCATGCCTGAAAATGACAGCAACAGCAAATGCTGTGTATTACCTTTAATAACATACATGCACTTGTCGGTAATTTCTATGTAACAGCTGTCAAATTATGGTTATAAACTGTCTATGGTTATAAATTATGGTTATAGCATACAAAAAGCCTTGGTCATGTCCGTGTATATTAATGTTCACAACGAAAGGGATTGGCACTCCACTGAATAAAACAAGTCTGATATAAACGTGTTTTGCTTAGTCCAGTTTAGGATGTATGATTGAGAGTGTCAGAGAGTCGAATGTACTGTATTAAGTAGAATTGTGTTAAAGATTTTTTAGAATATTAGCTATGGAGATAATTATTCATCTGTTTTAGGCACTAAGAATTCATGATGTACACACATTCAATAAAGTGTGATGTATTCTGTTGTCAAAAATAATGGATTTTGTTGCTTCATTTGTCAACGTGTGTCAGAAATTAAGAATTTGAAATACCCGTTAATACCTTTGCGAGACATAATTATTGTCATTAATTATACATAATCCTAATGTCGGCTCCTATTTAGAGGAAAATATCTATCATCGCAAAGAGGCTGGATCGATTGCTCGTGGTCCAAAACATACATGTATATCGAAATTCGTGGGTTTAGGATAAGGTAAAATTGAGGGTTTAGTGACAATAAAGATGGAAAACTGTTTGCACAAGTCTAACGGAATGCCTACCAAATGACCCATTTCCCGTAATTGAAATATCTACATTTAAGTAGAAAGGTGCATGATTTCAGATGTACAAAGTACAATTGACCCCGTTTTAGGAAGTTACGCTGTAGTTAAAACTGAACTTGTTTAAAAGCTACCAAGAATAATTCAGTTCTCGCAGCCTCGGGTAAACCCTGTAATTCCCGCCTCGATCCCTATCTGAATCGCATGTATTTTCTTTTAACGCGGTATTACTGATGTAGGCCTCAGGCGCGGTTCTAGAACCAATATTTGGGGGGGGGGGGGGGCTCATGCCATATTTTCAATGGGGAGCGCCAATAAAATCCTAAAATCATTCTATATTAACTAATGCACCCTTGTCACGGCTATTTCTTCTTTAGGGGGGACTGTTCGCATGTACATCACAATCCTTCTTTTTGCTAATCCAATCTTTTTTATGGAATTTATTTGGGGGGGGGGGGCTAGACACAATTTTTTTTTGGGCCCCCCCCCCCCCCCCCCCCCCCCTAGCCCCCCGTAGAACCGCGCCTGGTACTGGTAGGCCTAATGTGCTCTCAAACAAGCTCACGCTGGGGGTGTTATTACTACGGATTATTAGTTCCTCAGCACAGTACATAACGGTGAAATGATCGCACATGATACAATTACAGAAACTTGGAGGTAGGCTTTTTATGATGCGAGTCATGTGCTGTAGTCTCGTCCTATGGTGCATTGAGCTCATCATGGTTTGGAGGTAATTAAAAATCGGATTCTAGATGCTCATGTGGTGTGATCTGAGGCAATTTCTGACCACTTTAACCAATATTTTCTGAGCAAAAGATAATGATTTAAACATCAGTTTCGAGGTTGAAGTCATTGAATAAGCTATTATATTCTCAGCTAAAGGCGTGGGGTTCGGGGCCCGCTTAAGGCCCCGGTAAAAAATTGATTCTAGATGCTCTGTGGTGCGATCTGCAATTTCTGACCACTTGAACCAATATTTTCCCAGCAAAAGATAATAATTTAAAAATCATTTCGAGGTTGAAGTCATTGAATAAGCTATTATATTCTAAGCTAAAGGCGATGGGTTTGGGGCCTGAGGGCCCGAACAATTTTGGATTCTAAATGCTCTGTGGTGCGATCTGAGGCAATTTCTGACCATGATAACCAATATTTTCTTAGCAAAAGATACATTGTAGTACATAATAGGGCCCTGTAAATGAGGCACGAGTTCAAAATCTGGGGGGGGGGGGGGGGGGGGGACATTTGATATTGTGTCCCCCACCCTTCAAAAAGTGGGGGGGGGGACATGTCCCCCCAGGATTGACGCCCATGGTGGGCCGACAGGTAAAAGATAAAGGTCACTGCTAAAACAATAGGTAACTTGAGAAATACTTTAATCAGGAACTTCTGGTTTGTGGCCAGGTTGCTCTTGCCGTACATGTGCACAGGTCGAGGTAACTACTGTCAAAACAATAGAGTTAGAAATCCTCCATTTGGGTTAGATTGACTGACTGTGTCCGTACTATTAAAACTGACTATAAAACCTTCCAACGTGCCTGGGGTCGCGCAAGTTTCACTTGCAATATTTTTTTAATTTGCCGCACTGACATTTTTAATTTAATGTACGGTGAGGATTTTTCTTTGAATTCTTATTTTTATATTGTCTATATATTAATGTTTAACTTGATTTTAAATTAAGACTATCATTTATCATTGCAGATGCATTATATAAAACTCCATTGATATCCCCGTTTAAGTTCGTATCATCTAGTCTTAACCCATTTAATTTTAGTTGTATAATTATTTCCTTTGTTAAGATAATAGAACTAGCCTGTGCAAAAAAGACTTAACAAAAGGACAATCAGAAAATGGAAGAATAACTAAAGAAATACAATGAAACTTACCCAATCGATACTTCTCAGATATTCCAAATGTATTTTCCAAATTTCTTGTGGCGAGTGAGATGGTCATATTCTGATGTGTACTCCATTGGCAAAGACATGTGGTCAAAGTATGAAGGGCTTGCCAACTTTTGGTGTTGAAACTCCTCAAATCCATCCCGTAAAAGATAGCATCAAAAGCATTGAATAGTTTTTAGAATCCAGTGTGATCCCATCTGTTAGGTACAAGTATATACTCCATTTAGCTTTGGAAGTATATACAGGCGTGTTCGTCGCACTACAGCACTAAACACCAGCGATTGTGAGTGTGTGTGTGATTTCGCATAAGACATATGTACAGTGCATATGATAAATGGAACAAAAGGTGTGCACCCATTTGCGAAGGGTTTACAATAGGATCTTGTCTTGGTGCAATGCGTGCATTTTAGTCACAAATGTGGTGAATGTGCTAAACCTGATAAACCAGGGATTTATTTGCATTAACATATTGCCGTTTTAAGAAATAGGTTAAGTCAGAGAATCAACTCGAAACTGTATAGATTCGTGCAAAGAATGGACGAGGCGAAAGCGCGATTCCATTTCCTCGTCCTTAAATATGGGGACCGTACCGGTGTTATCATTTTGTGCGCGCGCATTTTTGGATCGCTGTTCTTGTGCATGGGCGCCGGTGATTGAACTCAGAATTATCAAGAAACTCACGCTTGTCAAGTTTACGATAAAAAGTACATAAAATCACGAGAGTCTCCATGAATGCGCGCAACTTTGAAGCATTTCAACTGCACAAGTTGTATAACAGCAATACAAGAATATTTAAAGAAGAAACAACTTGGGTCAAAACAATTGACTCAAAATGTGGAATATCCTTGGAAACAATTCTTGCTATCATGTACATGTATTTCATTGTTTTTCTTGCATGAATGAAGATCATTTTGATACTGTACATGAAACTGAGCAAAGTCTTACTTCTTTGAGCTTTAATGCTCTGTTGCGTTTTTTTTTATTTGCGCCTGTTCTTCTCTCGGCTCTTCCCTGGTATTCTTGACTCGTTGTGTGATGAACCCACTCTCTTTCTCTCTTTATTGATAGTTGCCAGAGATACGTTCAACTTCAACAAAACTTGAAGCTCATCATGCCAGTACCTCCAAAAATGCACATCCGTGTCCAGGCCTACTGCCATTTT